ATTAGTGATGAGGACAGCACTGACTCTACCGTGGGAGGGGATTACCTCACCCCTCTACCAGTCATTATGAAGATCGTTAAGGTCGTTGTGACGGCAAATGATAATTGCGATAGTGGTACTACGCGAAGCGAAGCGCTGTCTGCCACTCAGTGTTGCCTTGTAGACACCACTCCTCTGGCCAACTCCTCATCCAAGGTCGGATGGCGGCCTTATCTAGACCTATGGCAGCAGGGACGGAAATTGTATTCAAGCTGGGAACCTGTAGGGGACCATTCAGCGCCAGCTAAGAGGTCAAGAGTAGACGAGCCCGTACTCACCTTTACCATACCTAATGGGGGTATACCTGTTAGTGAGGATGTAGTATTATGAGGGGGGAGGGTTACTGAGTATCTCCCGTCGCAGGTCATTCTTAGGCTGCGGACCTACCCTGGGCCCCATACAGTGTTCCGTGTCCCTCTCCCATGCCCAGGGGTACTCTATCACGACCAGGCTACGCGTATATCACTTACTAGGGCCGACTTGGATAGCGGTGTTTTGTCGGAATTCGTGGATAACGTGGAAGTGCTCCTCTCCTTTGATGGTAGTATTATTCTAGTATTGAGGGAGGGGCGGTAGTCTTGGTCGAGTCAAGATACACATGTCGATGACCATAGCCCAACGATACAGAATGCTCGGCAAGTCCTTGTTGATTGTCGGACCGGTTTTACGCGGCATTACACAGAGGACATCACGAAGGGTGGTGGCAGTACGAGCAGATCCGGTCACGAGAAGGAGGTGGGTCGCTCTATTGGTGAAGGCTCGGTAGATGCTATTAATGTCAGAAGGAATCATTGGGGGACTCTCACAGGAGCCAGGGGGAGGCTGTTGTTAGTGACGGGGAGATCAGTGCTGAGGTCACTTCAGCTGTCGAGCCTCGAGTAGCCGAGACCGAGCAGCCCCCTGCCGACTCGGAGGGCGGTACTGAGGCTGGTGTTGGCAGCTCTCATGAGGGGGAGATGACCATACCGCTCGAGTCGCCAGTTGATGATGCAGATCTTGGTCTGGAGGATCTGTACTAGGAGGGGGGATGGGGCTAGGTGTCGATGGTATTGTGCTGATCAGGTACGGTTTAACAGAAGTGGATTATACGTCATGGGATGTCCCAGATGGCAACTCGCCTGAGCACGGGTTGTGATTCTCCCGATAGTACTTTTATTTTCAAGAGGTGGCTGCAGTGTGAGGGAAACTACTAGTGCTACTATTGTTATCATTTTTATTATCACAAAATTGTCGTCTAGTGACCATTAACCCCTCGTAATATTGATTGTGAGGTTGTGCCCCCCGTCATAGTTCTTATCCTCTCAGTAGAGAGGGCTCGTACTGCTCAGCGGGTGAGGTCGTGCTGAATGTGTGTAGATGGCGCTGCTTGCGTTGACCAGTTATCATGGGAGGAGTTTCATCAACACTATCTGCAGGATGATGCTCCTGAGGAGAGTACTACTATTGTAAAGCCCCACGCTTGTATATCGTCAAGGGGAATATTCTGGAGAATTATCGAGAGGTAGTTTATATCAATGGACTCGGCAAGGGGGGTTGGAGAAACGGAGGGGGGCACTTGCAAAGAGGAGAAGGCCGATAAGTCTCATCTGTATGTATTCACAGCTCACAAGGGCGGGATGGATGATGTGGATAAAGAGCTGCAATTGAAGGTCATTGAGGAGATGAGCAAGAATAGTAGTAGAGGAGGGTAGTAGGACTGGTGATGGGAGTAGTAGGCACACATCATGCTGCAGCCTTGAGGAAAGATAGGAAAGTCGATGAACGTATAGAGGCTATTAAGGAAGCTGTTGGGTCAATGACTAAACAGGAGAGGGAGCAGAGAGAGGCGGAGAAGGATGCGTAGGGAAGTTGACACGTTTTCATACCATATTTCTGCCACTTCAAGTATCATAATGGCTGCGAGAAGGCATTGTGCCTGCGAGTCAGAACGATGGTGCTGTGTGATCGATATGGATATGTTCTATGCTGCTGTGGAGATAAGAGACGACCCCTCCCTTCATGGTACTACCATTCCTAGCTCAACTCTCGTCAGCCTTCCGCCCTGTCCAGATGTCCCTCTCGCGGTGGGTGGCGACTCAATGATATCAACAGCGAACTACGTCGCCCGGAAGTGAGTCAATCTGAATGGAGTCTTCTGAGGCGCTCTATTGCAGGTATGGAGTCCGCGCGGCCATGCCCGGCTTTATAGCACGTGAGCTGTGTCGGCGACAAGGCGTAGAATTGAGGTTGGAAGGGCCCTCTGGGGTTGTGGTGATGATGGAGGGGGGCCTCAGGTTCAAGCCTGTGGACATGCCCCGTTATCAAGCTGCTAGTAAGATCTTCAAGGATACAGTATCGCTCTATGGCCCTATGAAGATGCTCTCGTTAGATGAGGTAGTAGTTGTAGTAGTGGTAGGGGTCGGCTGAGGTCACTTAGGCGTACATTGATATTACTGCAAAAGTGGCAGAGGCAGCGATGGTGGATGAGAGTATAAGTGAGGTAGAAGCTGCATCTTTGCTGGTAGTCGCTACGGCGTTTTGTGAATACAAGAGTACTAGCAGGTCTCCCGTATGCGGGAGGAGGTCTGTGAGAATAGTAGTGGCCTCACATGTAGTGCTGGTATAGCTAGAGGGTGCTTCCGTCTGGCCAAGATGGCATCTGATGTTAATAAGCCCAATGGCCAGTTTATGGTACCAACGACGACCCAAGGGATGCTGGAGTGGCTACATAGCATGCCAATCCGGAAGGTGCTGCCCTAAGCGGTATAGGAGATTGGGAAAGTCTCCAGTTAGTTGCATGGTGTTGGACGAGTTAGCGAACGAGAGCTCAGCGCTGGACTAGGCATCCATAAGGTTGGTGATATCATCATCAAAGCGGCGGAGTTACTTCACGCGATGTCTAGTAGTGGAGGTCATTGGGTAGGAGATGCAGCTCGGATTCCGTCACGCGCCACGAAATTAGCTCATCGATGCAGCCATGGGGGTGGCCGATATGGAGGATGTTACTGCAGCCGCCGAGTCGGGACCGAAGTCCATCAGCCAGGAACGTAGGGCCTGGTAGACTGGTGAGCCTTGGAGGCCCTCCCCCTCAGGGTCGCTATCAACGGCGAAGTCCGGCTCAGCCGCCTACCTCCATGAGGTCCTTGAGGAACTATGCTCACAGGTTATGGAGCTGTGTGCTGAAAAGGAGCAGTATGGTCGCTGTGTGACGGTGAAGCTGAAGACGTTTGAATGGGATGTGAAGCAGAAGTCCAATACCCTGAAGAGGGAGGTAGAAGGGTCTTGGTGTTGGCTAGAGGGCTCCCAGGGCCCTAGGTTCGAAGCGGGAGGCTCTTATACTCGGCAGCGAGTGAGCTGATGAGTACAGCCTTGGCGACTCTGAAGAAGCCTATTCGGTTGCTGGGAGTGAGGGTCTCCTCCTTCCAGACGGCAGTGCCCCAGGGGCAGAGTACTACGACTGAATGTCGGGCCCCTATGGACCTCCCGGCAGGTACTCTTGGGGACTTTCTAGCTGCACATAAGGCCAGCAGTAGCAGGGTGGCGGTGGATGAGTGCATTACTATTGAGAGCCATGAACATGGGGGGATAGTCGAGGCTTGGAATTGTACTGTCTGCACCTTCCTCAACAAGGCAACGGATCGGAGATGCGAGATGTGCCATGAGAATCGAGTCGGCCCAGTAGCTGAGCTGGGGAGTAGTCGTGGTAGCAAGAGGCCTATGCTGGATGGTGGGGGCAGTAGGGCTAGGAAGGTCCACAAGAAGGGCGCTATAGAGAGATACATGACAAGAAGGGCCCCCTCTACTAGTGAGGGCTCTGGCATGGTTATAGACCTAACACAGGATTGAAGGAGAGGCGAGGGATGGTGTACTGAGTAGGAGGAGAAGGCCGAGGAGAGGCCAGGGGCGACCAGTAATTCGGGTGAATGTAGCTGCATTTTTACTGAGCTTTTGCCACGGTTGGGAGGTTGTGTTGGTAGTAGGTGGGGCTATTGGGACTTAGTCGTCGTTTTCCGTCTATGTTCAGCCGTAGGCGCTCGGGCAATACCACAGCGAGGGAAGAGCCTCCGATAGCAGCTCCTCAGCATGAGGATGATGAAGGGAAGGTTGCGGGTGGAGGGTCCTCTACTGTCGCGGCCCCTCCTCAAGTGGTGGGACATGCCCCAACTTCCCCAGGAAAGGAGGCCCTTAGCAGGCACCGATGGTCGGGTGGGCCACAGCTGGAAGCGGCTCCCAAGGAGGGAGGAGGCGTACTGCTGCTGCTACTGCCGCCCTGGATGATGATGAGGATGACGACGATGGTATACCTATCATACCGGACCTAGAGGAGGAAGAGGAGGAGGACATGACCAGGTAGCCGTGGTGGTCAGATGTTGATGATGCCGTCTAGGCAAGTGGCGGCCCCTCCATCGGACTATGCCTTACGTCTGAAGACCCAACAGGAGCTTCGGGAGGCAGCTGCCTCATCATCATCATCAGCGACTGATAGTAAGAGTATAGATTCGCTCACTTCGTCTTCCGTGGAGTACCGCTCCTTCTTGGCATCGTGGGTCGAGTCATGAACCTTCTCGTTTGAAAAGTCTCCCCCTCAAACACCACCGCTTCCCCGTGACACTCCTCGTCGTTCCAGAGAAATCATCGACCTTGTACCCCCTGGACCCCCACCCAGAGCCGGGGATAGACCTCTCGGTCCTGTTCGAGATGCTCCTATCCCCAGAGGAAGTCGAGGTAAGGGCCGCTGTAGTTACGCCCATAATCCCTTCCGTTTCAGGAGGACAATGAAGTATGGGACCACGAGCAACTCCTAAAGGAAATGGCTGCCGAGTTTGCTGCTATGGAGAGGAGTCCGCCCGCCACAGCTCAGCTCCCACTTGCTTTATCCACCTCTACTCGATTCAGGTTCCTCCTCCCAGTCACGCGTGGATACGGCCAGAGAGGCTAAGGCTTCGTCGTAGTGACGGTATTGCTAGCATGCATATGTCGTTACTGGTGCTTTCCATTGAGCCATGGCCCTCTGTTGTGGTGTTGGGGGAAGAGGGGTATGTCATAGTGTCCCTCAGTGGGTATGTCATCATCAGTCTCCACCAACAGCCCATCAGCTCTCGACAGTGAGTCCGTCAAGGAGGATGTGCCCCCCTTCGACGCCCCTGTGGAGTCCAATAGGCAGCGGAAACGGAATAAGAGGAGGGAGCAGAAGAAGGAGAAGTGGCTGTGAGTCGGAAAGCCTCCTTCTGATGGAGGAGCGACTGATTGAGAGTACCTTCAGACGGAAGAAGAGCAGTCATGGTGGCGCTAGCGTTACCCCTACAGAAGGATCTGCTGACCAAGCAGCTTGTGATGGAGGCCGCAGTACCACCCAGAATCCACTACGTCGGGAAAGGAACGCTATGATGAGGGCCGACACCGAGGCCAAGGCGTTGATGAGCCCACTGGTGAGCCTTATTCGCCTCATTCCGCTGTATTCCTCGAGGGCCCTGCTGGTCGGAACTCTACAGGGTGATGTTGTTGTCCTTGTATCGATGAGCTGTTGTTTTGTTAGATACTCTTCGACTGTGAGTTCCGTGCAGAGATGCATACTAGGGAGAACACGTCCCTGGCCCAACAGCTAATGTTCTGTTATGGGGCCAATAAGAAGTGTGAATGGCCTCTTAGGCTCGTCACCGCGTGCCCTCAAGACGGCGATATGCATCGGGTAGGTCATAGCCTTCTCCCTGCCCCGCTTGCTATGGTCGTGCCCTATCAGCACTTGAAGAAGAACAGCGGCCTTTCCCAGTGGACATGCTTCACGTTGGACCATCGTCCTCTACATACCATATGTGCCGACCAGCAACAGCAGCAGCGACAGGTTGTGTATCTCACGGCCGACTCTGAGGATACCATGTGGTCCTTTGAACCCGACACTGTCTACATCATAGGAGGACTGGTTGACAAGAATCGTCATAAGAACATCACCAAGGACAAGGCTGCTGAGTTGGGTCTCAGGACGGCCCGATTGCCTTTAGGGGAAGTCGTCGATATGGGAGACCACTCCAAGGTCAGCCTCCAGCGTCAGCAGCAGCATCGATAGTAGTTGTATAGCGTGGTAGGTGCTCACCGTGAACCATGTGTTGGAGATTATGGCGCATCTATGGCAGCATCAACGGAGCAAGGTGAGGCCTGGAAGCTGCCAGATTCGTCCACTCGAGGGGCCTTCTCTCAGAAATCCGTCACAGAAGAGGATTGGCGAGAAGTTTGTCTAGAGTGCCTACCAGGACGGAAGAAGAAGAAGGTGGGTGATGTCAATAGCGACGGGGCCGGCTCATCACCGCAGGCTAAACGCCAGAAAGTATCTACGACTGATGAGGATGATGGTGAGGGAGAGGCCTCTCCAGTGTAGTCCTCTCCTGCCCGACCTAGCATTCTACGTTTCATAACAATGTTTCCCCAAGCTTGATATTGCTGTTGTTCTTGGGAGTCTCACTAGCAGGGGATGGAGTCGATATAGTGTTATCCCTACGAGCCTATGAGTGAGCGACCGACGAGTCAGGGAGGGTCTCCTATGAAAAGGCCTAGAGTGGACTCGGGGAGGGGTCAGGGGGTTAGCAGGGGAGACGGCGGTGGTGGGGCTGTGGTCCAAGAAGGGCATCACTTCCACAGCAAGAATAAGTTGGCTAGAGCTGTTGGTAGGCCCTCCTTCTTCAATGGTATCCAATTTAGTGACAGGCTCTGTAAATGAGGAGTGTACAGTATTCATGTCGGGCCTCCCCTTCACGACCAAGGAGAGTGATATTGAGAATGCACTCAGTGAGGCAGCAGCAGCCGTAGAGGAGGTCGCCTCCCAGCAGGGGGTCGCTGATCAGGACAACTCCGGTACACCCTCGAGGTGAGTCGACGCCCCCCCCCAGGAAATCGACATTCCGTTCTCAGGGACAGCGCGCCGCCGCTGAAGCCTACAGCCATACGGCTGGTCAGAGACCGCCTAGGCCATCTGAAGGGCTTCGCTTACGTCGACTTTGCATCCCATAGTCAAGCCCAGCGGGCAGCCACTTTGATGGACAAGAGGGTCCTGCATGGCAACAAAATATTTGCTCGGATATCCCGTCCGACCAAGCCGCTGTGAGTCCCTGACGGTCTACATCAGCATTCGAGACACATGACAGGTTCGAGCCGACTACTCTGGTCATGGCACCGGAGGAGGCCGCAGACCAATCTGAGGTCTCACTGGACGCCTCCAGGATCCTGGCTGCCCTCCATAGTGTGGGGTGCCCTGGGGAGAGTGTCACCTATCCTCGGAACCCCGATGCACACCTCTGCTATGTCGGTTGTAGTTCCTCCTCTTATCGCAGTACATGGGCTGAATCGTAGGTGCACTTTGGCAAACCTGAGGAGGCTGACAAGTGCCTGGCCTTGGAGACTCTACGCCTGGAGGGTGATGATGGTCCAGTGTTAAGGATAGAAAGGAGTATACCCAAGAAGGCCCCAAATATGGGGTCTAAGGCCCCACAGCCGAAGGACAAGAAGGCGTTATTGGAATATAAGACCTCAGGCAAACGAGAACGGACACTGTTCGTCCAGAACTTGTCCTTTGAAACGGAGTAAGCAATGCGGTGTTGGAGGAATGTATGGGCGCTTTCCTCAGCTTAACGTAGAAGAGTTTTCTCACTACAGTGAGTTCGATTTTGATAGTCCGAAATGAGAGAATGTTGTAACTTCTCTAATTCGACGATTGGGAATCTGAGACCGATAATGATTATACATATTATTATATTGCTTACTTATAGACCTCTAAATCTTAGAGGTTTCAGATTCCTAATCGCCGAATTAGCGAAGTTGCAGTATTTTCTCATTCCGGACTATTAAAATCGAACACACTGTATATCATGAAAATTCACACGAATTCACGAAGTACACAGCAGCCACTAAGGAATTCCCAAAATCTCCTCACTCACCAACACATGTAGTTGAACATGTGCATGGAAGCGATGACAATCCCTTCCCTTCAGCGGGCCCTGTCTATGGATGATATCCTCCTCAGTGAGAATACCCTACAGAGCTTCGTCGGGTGGTCTATGGCCGAGCAAGGCCTGGTGACAGCGTGCCTTATAGTTCGCAATAAGAGAGGTAAATCCAGAGGATTCGCCTATCTAGAGCTGGCCACCAAGGAGGCCGCTGAGAAGGTCGCCGAGGCCATCAATGGGTGTGAGCTCAACGGTCGTGCTATAAAAGTACTACACCTCCTTGGTACTACATGTAGCTCACCCGATCAGGTGTCCCCCAGCGACCGGCCCATAACTAGCAAGGCCCATCCTATGGAAGGTGTGGAACCCCAGCCTACTATGAAGGAAGCACAGCCAGCTGTGGAGGAAGCGAATGAGCAGGAGCAGCAGCAGCCTCCCAAGACTATGATGAGCAATTCGGACTTCAGGGCTTGGCTGCTCGGTGGTTCCAGTTGATTGTGGTTAGTACGCACTATCCTTCACCATGGTCTTGCGTTATGGAGAACTCGGGATGAGCTACCTCTTCCATGGCAATTTGGTTTTCATGTCGGCGGCCTCGACGTTAGCGACTTCATTGAGCTGTATCGACACCCAGTCCGTCCGTAGTGGAGTCCTGTGGTCGGCAGCCTGGCGACCGGCCCATCCCGGAGCACCTCTGTTGGCTGTGTGTGGACAAAGGCCCGATATACTGCTGTATACTATACAGTATCCTGAGGGAGAGGTCATTTGACTTGCCTTTATTCTACCATCACATCCCCTGTTGCAGGACGCTGCTACTCCCAAGCTGACGCTGGTGAAGACTATCACCACCAACCACACTCGGACGCTACGGCGAGTTAATTGGCTCCAAGACGGGTGAGCCTACTACCATGCGTCCTCCGTCTGCGTATCTGATGCTCTTACTCCTCAGGAAGACGTTGGTGGTGGCATGCTTCGATGCTTCAGTCTCACTATGGGCCGTAGAAGGTTCCAATCCAGACGAGTTGTTGGTCCGTCACAAGGCTACCATACAGGTGAGCTCCTCCTCCTGCTGCGCTCCCATATCCCTCAACTCAGGGCCACGAGAATGAAGTGAAGAATGCATGCTTCAGTCCTAGTGGCAAGTAAGAGCGTGTCACTACCCTCTAGAGGTTATTGTCTTCATAAGGCCCTCGTCGCAGGTACCTAGCCACGTGTAGCCGCGACAAGACCATATGGGTGTGGGAGGAGTGTGATGTCCTGCCCGACCGTCAAGTTGATGACGACTATGGTGAGTGAGCCTCTGGGATCATCTAGTGTCTGTGGCACTCTGTTGGTATGTTCAGAGGATACTCCCTTGGGAGGGGCTGAGATCGACTTCGAGTGTGTTGGCATACTACAGGCCCACAGCCAGGATGTTAAGTCTGTGGCTTGGCATCCCTGGGTTGACAATGTTCTCTTTAGTGCTAGCTACGATGATACGATACGAGTAGGTCTACTGCGAGGCTGTTGTGACCATCCAGGTTGCTCAGGTGTGGTCTCGCCCGGCTGAGGGTGGCGGTGGTGACGATGATTGGCATTGCATTCAGACTTTGAAGGGGAATGAAAGTGAGTGTGGCCTCTTGCTGTCATCACCGATTCATGCCGGCATTCCTTCCTCCCTTTCAGCGACAGTGTGGAACATATCATTAATCGATGCGGGTTCGCAACCGCTGATGCTATCAGTGGCTGGTGATGGTGCGATAAAGGCCTGGTTACAGCAACCCAATCAGGATGCCTCAATACAGGTGCCTTCAACCTACCATATACTATCGTTACTCCCCCTCTCTCTGTCTCAGCTGCCACAGGGTCCATTGGGTCTAGCCAATTGGTACACAGCCCAAACCTTCACTGGGTATTCCAAGAGTGAAGCCGTGAGGGTGGAGGCGGATCTCCCTACGTGGGAATGCGTTGGTGGGTTGGCCATTCGTAGCCACGGTTCAGATGGTGTTTGGAGTAGATACCGTCAGAGTGGGCAACGGGTTGCCAGTATACGATGTGGATACTGTCTTAGACCCCTCGGATGGTACCATCATCGCTGCAACAGCTGGCGGGTGAGTTATCCATGACGGCCGCTGTCGAGGTTGAAAGTCCTTGTCTCAGCGATAACTCGGTACGGATATTCGCCTACACCTTGTCGAGCACTGGTGGAAGGATGTCGGCTCGGCACGAGGAGCTGGCCAACTCTGCCAAGCTCATGGGACGGGGGCAAACACATACTAGTGATGTTAACAGCGTAAGCCTCTCAGCAATTAGGCCATTCCGGTATGGTTCAGCCGAGTGCTAACCTTCGGGGTTGCCAGGGTATCCCAGTTTCATGGACTACGCGATCGGCCTCTTTTAGGTCGCCTTCCTCCCCGATAGACAAGCGGATGGTGCCTGGTTGCTGGCTAGTGCTAGCGATGATGAGAGCGTTAAGTTATGGAAGGTCACCCGTCCTCAAGATTCGTTCTGAGCCTTCAAGATACTGCAAAAGGCATATCAGCTATATCGCCGTACCATTTTCGTAACACTTTAACTCTGTGTAGAGTAGTGCTCAGTGTTTCCCTATCTACCATGTTGGGTTGCTATGTTCGGTAGTCCTTATCGGTCCACCTCGCTTAGAGAGGCTCTGTGCTCTGTTATTACGTCAGCGTTGACGAGCAGAGTGTAGTGGTAGAAGCGGGATACCACTACCTTTACGGTAGGGGCTAGAACTTGCCAATTACTTCGACCCATCGTGGGTGCAGCAGAAGCCTCTTCGACTCGAACGGTGGAGCCCGAGCCATTGTAGCATCGTCAATACTTCTGATTCTTTCGTTCATCGTCCCCTGTTGGAGTTAAGGGGAGGCGAGCCGTTGTAATCCAGTGACTGCTGCACACCGGGTTCACACTAATACTTCCTAGGTTGTTTTGAAGGTTTGGGAACACAACAGCTACTGTCATCATCCCTATAAGAATTACAAAACCTGAAGGAGGTAGTCGACGATTAATCTCATGCGGGGTCAGGACTCCTGACTCAGGAGTCAACGACTCTCCCCATCAAAGGCTAGTCCTAAGGCTCAGGTTGAACGGTGATGTCATATAATCATTCGTGATGAAGTATTCTCATGTCCAGCAAGAAGTAATGCCGATGAGGAGATGACTGCTACCCACTGAACCGAGCATCCCAGTTCTGTCCAATGGGAGTGATGTTGCCACGAGCGTTTCTCGGACGTGTAAATACGGAAGTGCGAATAAGAGTGTTCGTCGAGTTGAATGAGTCGAGAAAACTCACCTTCGTCAACTCGCGGCTTAGTGACAATCTTGTGTTATGACTGCTGAGGCCGACCAAACACGATGGTGGACGGTGTGCCAAATGAAGATACGTATTACACTATGATTCATACTACGCCCGAGTGACTATTAGCTTGAACGAAAATCAAAAGATCGATGGAAAGTGCTCTATTATAGAGGTTACTATTAATTATTGATCTACGCATGATAGAATAACATTGATGATGGTAACGGCTGTAATATAACAGGAGAGACACCATTAACCTAAAAAATAACATAAGACCATCTCTAGCATTGATGAGCACACCGTCATGTTCCCCATGTACGTCGGCGTCATCGATACTTTACCATAACCTGTCATGGTACTCCCGAATGAGGGATACACATGACGTACCTAGAAGAGACGGATGCAGCAAGTCCAGCCATGGAGAGTCGATGACCTACCTGTCTTTGA